GAACATTCATCAAAGTCTGCAAACACAGTTTTAGTTTTCAGAGCTTTAAAGTAACAAGTACAAATACTTTGTTTTTGTACAAAGTAGAAATTTTGGGTATCTGTACTTGAGTAATTATTATTTAGTATTTAATTATTCAGCCTACATTTTTTTTTAAATACACACAGCTGTCTGTACTTTCAACTTACATTTTTTTTAAAAAGTAGTAGAAAATCATTCCTCTTATTTTGTTTCAGATTGTTGGTGTTAAAAAAATACTATCCTAAAAAAGTGTGTATCCAGGATAGAGTAATTTAATTGTAGTTGGATTAGAAGTATAAATGATATTAAGATACTGTATTAATTTGTACACAATCCACCACAGTTGCATGTTTTTAGAAATTTTGTTTTAGAGAAGTCACCTCCAAATAAATGTACACTGCTCAAAAAAATAAAAGGAACACTTAAACGCACACTAACTCTCGATCTTAATCAATGAAATATTCGCATTGAGTACTTTGTTCTGTACAGAGTTGAATGTGCTTCACAAAAGTTTGATTTACTTGGACTTAGCGTGCATTGTTTAAGTGTTCCCTTCATTTTTTTGAGCAGTGCATTTTGGAAAATCTAACTGCTCATTTTTACTCAATACTTTTAATTTTAATACTTAAGTAGATTTTATGTCCGAAATTTACTTGATACTTAAGTAAAGTACAAATAAAATCTGATACTTTAAGATGTTTACTCAAGATTCTTAGAGACTAACTTTTGCCAAAGTAATTTTATGATAATATATTTGTACTTTTATCACTTTGAGATACTTTATACAACACTGAGTTTCAGAAGCATGGACCAAAATTTGGAGCTTGACAATAAAACAGAAAAACTTTGGGTATTCTAAAGGATGTGACATATGCTGAAAAACTTTACTGCTTTTATCTAAATGACAGAAGAACTGTCAGCCCGTTTACCTTCACAGACAYCACCATTAGGAGAGAGTTTATATCCAACAGGACAGGTACAGAGTGTCCCCCAGTGTTCCTCAATACACACATGATCACAACCACCATTGTTCATGGAACAGATGCGACCTGCAAAGTGGATAAAATACTGGACGTCAGTATTTACATTGATGTTTGCACAAACTGTTTTTAAGCTTGAATGCATCATTTAAAAAACAAAGTCAGGTAAATCTTACCACAGGTTATTGGCTCATCACTGCCATCAGAACAATGAATCTCCCCGTCACACCTTTCTGCAGGCGATAGACACGTCCCATCAGGACACCGGACACCACCTGCATCACACATACCTGCAGAAATAAAACCGTGTGTTAAGGAGCAAGAATAAGAAACAGTGGTTTTTGGCTACATGCCTCAGAAGAGCATAAATACCGTCTATAATAAAAGATAATGTCTAATAAATTACAAACATTTGTTTAACTAAAAAACAATTAAACAGTCTTCCTCACCACAGTCCTCTTCATCAGAGTTATCACCACAGTCATTTTGTTTGTTGCAGCGCACTTCTTTGGGCACACAAATGCGGTTGTGACACATCCATTCAGAGTCCAGACAACCCTCTACGACCGGACAGTTCTCCTCATCAGAACCAGTGGGACACTGGTATTTCCCATCGCAGCGTGCAGACACGTCAAAACACCCGACCGAGTCCAAACAAGGAAACTGACCAGGAGGACAGTCAGAACCTCGGGACACTGAAGGCAACGAGAGACAGGGTTGAAGCAAGCATGGACGTTAGTTTAGTAAACATGATTATTATTATTATTTTACTGGAAACTACATACTGTCACAGTCCATTTCATCAGATCCATCCAGACAGTCTCCCTCTCCGTCACATCGCCACGTGGCCATAATACAGTGTCCATCGTCACACTGCCATTGGCCCTCCAGGCATCCCAAGACTTGACCTTTACACCAGGTCAAGGTGCAAACAAGAAATTAAATTAAATCATGGTCCAAACACAACYCCATGATAAAATTACAAAGTTTCTGACACACACAGTGTTACTGTGAATTTGTTTTACGTTTTTGCCGTTTAAAAAAATCTCTCGCAATTAAACAAATATAAATAAAGGGTTTCATTTCCAAACAAAATAAGCTGTAGCTTACAAAATCAAAAAGTACTTGTTTGGACCGAAATATGGTGTCAAAAAGGGGGAAAAAAATATGCCTTTCAATGTCATTTCWGAGTATTGAGGTATTTAAAAGGTTGAATGTGAGCTACTGCACTGCAAAAACTGTCCATCTAACCAAGTTTTAAAATCTTATATCCAGCCAAAAAGTCTGTTTGATCTTGTTTTKAGACTGATTTACTAAACAAGAACTGATTGTGTAAGAATAATKATCTTGTTTTCAGAATGTGTAAGATTATTTGTCTCGTTAGCCTGAAAATTTGACTCAAATTAAGTCAAAAATTTCTGCCAGTGGAGTAAAAACATTTTACTTGGTAAGATTCTTGAAATGAGAAAAAATTGAGTTAAATCAAGTATTTCAAGAATCTTACCAAGTAAAATGTCCTTACTCCATTGGCAGAAAATTTTGACTTAATGAGTCAAATTTTCAAACTAACAAGACAAATAATCTTACACATTCTGAGAATAAGATTATTATTCTTACACAATTAGTTCTTGTTTAGTAAATCAGTCTTAAAACAAGATCAAACAGACTTTTTGGCTGGATATAAGATTTTAAAACTTGGTAAGATGGACAGTTTTTGCAGTGCACACCCAATTTCAATTTTTGTACTAAAAGCAACCCATTTGTGTTCACTAATGCAGATTAATTGAAGGGTTAATTCCAGAAGTTACTGTTGATTGCTTTGTGTTTTTCCCTTAAAATCCATTTAATGTTTCATGAAATGCTCTGATAACAGTGACCAACAGTTAATATTAAAGTTTCAGGTAAAGATAACATGCAATGTAGAAAACTTGGGGGAAAACTCTCAGCTACTACCACACCTAGGCTACTCGGTGTGTGTTTGAGAAGTTTTGTTTAGCCGTGGCTGCTATTAAAATGTAAGGGAATAAAATGTAAACAATTAAAACCAACTCACCTGTGGAAATCCGTAAATTAGCCAGCAAACTAAGACAAATGAACGTGCGCAGGTCCATGTCGGCCCTCGCGCGGCTCATCGCATGCAACACCCGCAGCTGAGACGACGCGCTTTAATCGGCTCGCGCTGCTGCAGGTGCGCCTGTAATTAGGACCGGCAACTTCCGGTCCAGATYAAAATCAATTGGATGTCATTTCAGCTGTAGCTATAATACAGGACGCACACTGGAACKGTCTGGTAGTCGTGTTTTAAACATGTTTTCGGGCAGTAGCTTATAATAATTCACTAACAAATATTTTTATCTTTATTCACTATGCTTTCTGACTTTATGTTTATCACTGTCTTTATTATTCCAGCGTTGTAGCCAATGTCATTTTATATTCTCGTTGTATTTCTTTTAATAAGGTACCCTTTAAACAAGGTTTTAACCTACTCACAAAATGACTTTTTACATTGTACTGCAACAGTGAGCTTAATAATAATAATAATAATAATAATAATAATAATAATAATAATAATATAATGATGATGATGATGATGACACAAAACCTAGATCAATAATTTGACTAAATTCTTAATCTTCCCAACAAAATAGAATTGTTTGAATTAAGGCTTTATTTTTTTGAGAATTATAGGCTACTGATTGGCACAAGTAAAATAAATATCAAAGATGACAACATTTGTTTTGTTCCTTTTATCTTGTAGTGAAAGGAATGAAACCTTAAAGCTTTTTCTTCTCTCCTTTAAAATCAAACGTGTGTTAGTTTCTTAAATAAGGAACAATTAACGAACAATAATGGTGCCATTAAGCTTCAGCCTTTCATGTCCAAAATCGTAATCCACCAAAACTTCTCCCATGTAAAAGCCTATTTTCATTACATTACATTTATTTCAGTTATAATATAATATAATAT